CACTGCGTGTGGGAGGTGATGGGAGAAAAATATGGCTTATGCCGACTATCATTACCCCTAAAAAGCCAGGGGGCGTAGGTTGTCATGGAACGTGGGTGACTGTCACATTGCGTGGCCAAGCCCACCATAGCCCAGTACACTCAGCTCTCTAAAGTCGACAAGTTGGCCTAGTAGACATCATATGCATCCTAGTCGACTACCCCATGCCACGCGCCAGCGCAAAGGGAAGGTGGCTAGGGCTGACCTACCTCGTGGGAAGCTAGCTCTGCTGGGTGGCCCTTAGGGGCCTGCAACAGGCCTTACCCGCCAGCATGTGACAAGACTTTACCTACCTAAAATGGCTACAAGGGGTAGACCGCTCTAGCTAAGAAACTTTCATACCTTGTAAAAGATGTAGGGGGAGATCTGAGAAAGAACAAACAACAACAGGTGTAGGGTATTACAATTCCAAAACACCCAAATATGTATAAACCATTTGTCTTTTGCATCCTCACGCGCTCATGACTTAGCTCCACGCACTTGCTCCTTGGACCAAATCCATAAAAGGGTTTTTTTTCTCTCCCCGCTAGAGGAGTTCGGGCTCAGATTGCTAGACTATGGGAGAAGCCTAGGAGGTGGTGATGAAGGACTGGTGACAGCAGTTGCGTGGTCAGGGAAGGTTGGTCAACTACGGCAGGGGCTAGATAGGTGTGATGTCTGGCTGAGGAGAAACATGGCGGCCACATATTAGAAGCTACTCCCTCCGTCCTCTAATATAAGGGATTTTGATATTTTTCTTACACTGTTTGACCACTCGTCTTATTCAAAAAATTTGTGTAAATATAAAAAACAAAAAGTTGTGCTTAATGTATTTTGGATAATAAAGTAAGTCACAAATAAAATAAATAATAATTTTAAAATTTTTTTAATAAGACGAATGGTCAAACAGTACAAATAAAATGTCAAAATCCCTAATATCAGAGGACGGAGGGAGTACAAATTTGAGTAGAACAAACTGCAATAATTTGTTTATTACAGAAAAAAATAGTAATTACATTATAGATGGAAGATTATTCCATGTGTGAGCGAGATAGATACAAAAGATTATTGTAGGGAGAAGGTTAGTAAATCATTTACTGATGGAAAAAGGGATGGAAAACCATTTACTGATGGAGAAAAGGTTATTTTTAGGAGGATAATATAGCTGGAAAACAATTATTCTGGGGTGGAGAGACGGATAGTAAAAGGAATTACTAGGTACTTCCTCCGTTTCATAATGTAAGACTTTCTAACATTACTCATATTCATATGAGTGTTAATGAATCTAGTCATATATAAGTGTATATATGAATATGGGCAATACTAGAAAGTCTTACAGTATAAAACGGAGGGAGTAAGTATTTTTTTTTTATCGTGAATGAACAAACCACGAACCATGGGTTATTTTTTTTTTTGAGGCGGACGATGGGAGGCCGAGAACAAACGAGGAGAGGATGGAGCAGAAAAATGGAAAAAAAAAACGGGTGGTGAGGAACTGAAAGACGAAAAGTGAGACATCTCTGTTAAGCACTACCAGCTTTTTTTTTGGGTAATTTTATGAAAATATTTGTAGTTTTGTTAAGTTTGTTTGAAAAACGTAACATAAACGGAAATTTATAGTATAATATCCTTATGTTGATAAAAAGTGAAGGTAGTGCTCTCCATATATTTTTAAACTGCAATTTGTATCTTAATATGTATATGCAAGTGTGTTTTGGAATTCATATCTAGAATGGCCAAATTAGTGTGTTGAGAATTTTAAATCAAATTTGTTTGTATGGTATGAAGCGGGCCTAGGGTCTCCTTTGTAGAAAGGAGTTCCAAAGATTTATTGCACGACTTAATACAATAGTCAGATTTGTGCGAAATACATGTAAATTATAGTGCTGCAAAGGAAACCTTATCAATGTGGTTATTCGAACTAATGCTATCACAAATAGACCCTCCATCCCAAAAAAAAGTCCAATCCTAACTATGAACCTGAACACGCATATGTCCAGGTTGGTAGCTAGAGTTTGCCTTTTTTTTTTTTAAGATAGAGTAGTTCATGCTAAGGCCTACACCTTCTATAAAAAAAAATAGATCCTAGCTATAAATATGAGCAATCAATTGTCGGGATTTGAGATTCTCTGGGAGGGAGGGAGGGAGTACCTCAGAACCAAGGAATTTTATATGACTTTTTAGGCTCCCTTTCATTCAAAGGAAATTTATAGGAATTTTAAAAGATTTCATTCCTATAGAAAATTTTCCTATATAGCCCTTTGAATTAAAGGAATGAATCCTATGAAATTCCTATGGAATGCCTCTTCCCATGCAAGTTTTGGAGGAAATTTAGCATGAGGTAGAACATCATGTTAAGAATCCTTTGAGTCTTAGGGCCCCTTTGAATCGCAAGAATGAGAAAACATAGGAATAGGAAAAACGCAGGATTTTAATAAGAATGTAAGTGTAAAACAGAGGATTGCAAAACACAGAAAAAACACAGGAATGGTTGTTTGATTGGACCGCAGTAAAAACACAGGAATTAGAGGAGAGATAAAGACTCAAAGGAAAGTTTCCAAGAGGTTTTACCTCATGTTAGAATTCCTCCAATACTTGCATGGCATTAGGCAATCCATAGGAATTTCATAGGATTCCATAAGATCTATTCATTTGATTCAAAGGGTTATATAGGGAAAATTCCTATAGGAATGAAATCCTCTAAAGTTCCTATGAATTTCCTTTGAATCAAAGGGGGCCTTTATCTCTCCTCAAATTCTTGTGTTTTTCCTACAGCTCAATCAAACAGTCATTCCTATGTTTTTCCTGTGTTTTGTAATCCTCTGTTTTATACTTGTATTCCTATGAGAATCCTATGTTTTTCCTATTCCTCCGTTTTTTTCATTCCTGTGATTCAAAGGGGGCCTTACAGTTTTTTAAAAAATCAATTCAATTTTCAATGAAAATGGAAATAAACTCTGTTTCAATCTGACGCCTAGAATTGCTAGCCAGAGTTTGACAAGTATAGTTACTTGAATATACAGGCTTTGGAATTGGATTGGTGCAATTGATAGTATCCTCAAATACTACTTCGTCTATTCTAAAATATAACCACTTAAATTTGTAATTTTAGCATGCGTAAGATTGCTACGGAGTGGAGGGAGTACCAGTGTTGATTCCAACTGGCCTGCCCGGGAGATTGAATTGAACCATCGGCACACAGTGTAATTTAAATATGCTTACTAGCTCAGCTCCGACAATAACCCCCTGCACTTCCCTGCCATGGCTTAATTATATAATGTAATGCTGTTACTTAGGCATGTGCAGAGGCTGGAGAGAGACCCATGTGTTCCTATCAGCCATGCATGAACAATGAACAGCCTGTACAGAGCAGCCCTTTTTTTTCCCTTCTTCACAAACGGAACTGTCCCATTAGGGCGCACACAACACACACATGCATGCAAGCTTCCTCTTCTTCCTCTTTTTTTCAAACTCTTGGTTTAATAGGACGACACTGACAGTTGAGAGGGGGCAACCAACAAAAGGGTGCAGCCAATGTAAGGGACAACAGTACCTATCAATGCAAAGAAAGGAGATGAAACAGCAGCAGCAAAAACAATACAACTACAAAATGAAAAGAAGATGTTTTTCTGTGTGTGCAAAGCACCACAGGAAACATGCATGCTGCAAGAAACACGCCCCTCTTGTGCTAACCTCAGATGCACCCATGCCCACTGTTCATCATGCAAGTGCCCAAGACCAAAAAGTTTTAACTTGTACTACTCCCCTCCTAGTCCTACTACCTCTGTGGTGAAAACCTTGGAAAAATCGGTGGATGCATGGCCCCCATCCTGGTGTACCCCCCTCCACCCTCCCTTGCCTCCTAGATCGCCCTTTCTTCCCAATTGCATTCGGTTTCCTGATCTGTGAAGGTAACCACTAACCAATCAATTCATCTTAAAAGCTTACGATATCGTTTCAAGCCAAGAGAATTGTGTCTCATACACTTCCAACGTATAGAAAAGCTAGTTTCGCCGGTGGTCCATCGTCTGGTTTCACGGCTGGAATTTGGGGGGTAAGACGACGACGATACATACATGCATGCTAACGAGTAGCTAGAGAGCGTGGCAGAGCATCACAGGATCATTGCAGCCCAGGAGTAGTACATGTCCTGCCGCTCGAGTAGAGAGGGTTGTAAAAATCCTCATGAAACCTTGCAAAAATCACCTCGGTTGATGAGGCTGCGTGCAGGTGCAGCTGCCACATCTACTGTGCAAGCTTCGTAGGCGGTGCAGAAGCTGTGGCCTGGAAGTAGTGTGCATGTGTAGAGAGGTCAAGCCGTCAAGGACTTGTGCTTTTTTTTTTCCTTTCTCCTAGTAGTAGTAGGAGTAGTAGACAATTGTACCTTGGGCTAACACTATTGCAACGTGAGCATTGTCCACATGACAGAAATGCAGCAAGCAGCCAAGCCAAGCTCCCCAATGATGACCTACCTTATGCGTACATTTGCTCTTCATCAACGCTATACTTTGAAAAGGAAAACAGGGAAGCAGAATGGAAAAAGAAGAAAGACTCGTGTCAATTTCAGTAAAGAATACCTCGGGTCTTGTCGATAGAGTACGAAGAACAATACCATTGCAATGTTATTGTTCATTTGTTATACTAGTTGTACTTTGTTGAAAGTTCATTGTTGGCTGACGAAATTGCCAAGCCAAACCAGAAGTGCAGAACTTGAAGAATATACTGCTTCTACCGCCAAAGAGGAGAGATGGTGGAAGAACAGGCAATAATCAATGGCGCAAGCGAAGCTAGGCTTCATTCAATCGCGCATATATAAAATTGCTCCCATTCAAAACATACCAAAAATAGTCACAAACACACGATCTCCCTGTTCATCTTGCTCTGCTCAGTCTGCTGATTCCCAAATATAGGCAGCGATTTCCCCTCGGCTCCCGCACATTTCGGTCTCAACACAACACAGAAGCACATGTGTGGCGACGGCGAGCGAGTGAGTGCGAGCCGCTTATATTAATTAATTAAAAACACACACACATGATTAGCAACGCAAAGCAAATTAATGGTGCAAATGATCTCCAATCTCATGCCCCTACCACCCCCACCCCACCAAAACAAGAGGAGGGAGCAAGCAAGAACTGGCAACATGAGCACAAGACAAGTAAAAAAAAAGGAAAAGAAAACAAAATAGAGAGAAAAAAAATTGAAGAATCTAACAATTCCTAGTTATCAAATTCTACAAATGCTAGTAATTAAGGGCAACATTAAAAGGGAGCAATTAATTAAAAACAAAAGAAAAACCAATTAAAATCAGGCAGGGGATCAGGGGATGGATGCTGTGGTATGCTGCTGACTACACTGAAGAGGGATCCACACTGGCAGTAGCCTCAGTTAGCATGTCATCGTCTCCCTCCGTGAGCAGCTCCAGGTCCTTGTCATCGTCGTTGGAGAAGTCCCTCCTCTCGAGCTTCGAGTTGGCGGCCACGTAGACGAGGCGCTGCGCGCGGGCAATGCCGGCGGCAGAGCTCCCGGGAGCGGTGAGCCAGCGGGACATGGGTGGCGCGCACCTGAACCCCTTGGCGGTGGCGTGGAGGAAGATGAGCCGCACGGCCACCTTGCCGAGCGACTTGAGGTCGCTGAGGCACGTCTCCCACACCAGCCGGCTGCTCTGCTTGTTAGCGATCCTCATCTTCCCCGTCGACGGGTCGGGCTGCCGGACCTGCACCGCCTGCGCGTACAGCGGGTCGAGCCCCTCCGACCGCCATTTCATCAGCTCCATGAGCGCCAGGTGGGCCTCCTCCGGCGACACCAGCCGCGTGATCAGCCTGTCCACGTCCTTGTCCTGCTCCGGCGTCAGGTACTTGAACGGCGGGAGGTACCTCCCGCTGACATCCTTGATCAGGTAGAGCGGGTCGAGGATGAACGCCGCTGACCACGCCGGGTGGTAGCTCTTCCTGAACCTCACCTCGACCACGTTCATGGCGATGCCCTCGTCCACGTTGAACTTGCGGCACCAGCCTCTCACCTTGCCGCGCAGGTCCTCCCAGAGCGGCAGGCATTGCCCGACTAGCGGCCTCTCAGCTTCCATCTCTTTCACCATGTCGGTGATCAGCTTCACCAGCGAGTGCGCCGCCTCGACCTCCGTCCAGAACGCCACCTTCTGCACCATGCTGCCGACCTCCCTCGCCGCGGGGTCGTCGATGCACACCAGCTTGTACGACTCCTCGTGCACCGCCAGCTGGAGCGGCCGCGCCGAGGTCAGGATGTCCTCGAGCATTGCGAACGCCGCGGCGCGGTCGAACGGCGGGGCGGCGACGCGGAGGAGCATGGCGTGACCGTGCTCCTGGACTTGGTGCTTGTGCAGCAGCGCGCGCACCGTGGGCGCCGCGTTGAAGTAGGCGGCCATCTTGGCGCAGTTCGCCGACGCGGAGTGGAAAAGCGGGAGCTCACGGGCCATGTCCCTGACTAGACGGGACAAGCCATGGACTTGGCAAGCAAGGTTCAGCATCCACGGGTGCTTGTGCTCGAGATCGCGCAGGGCCTTCGAGCCGAAACGGTCGGCGACAATGCCGGCGCAATGGTGGAGTTCGCTGGAGGCCGAGACGGATGAGATGGCTTCCAGCATAAGCTGCTCGGCGTAGTCGGACGATGCCGGAGCCGGCGTGGGCACGGCGCGTTCGAAAACGGACGCGCCGTTGGGGAGGTTGACGGAGAGGGTGACCACCTGTTCGCGCCACCCGTCGGCCGCGAGCTGAAAGAACCGCGCCTCACGGATGCGCGCCGCGGCGTCGGCGCGAGCCTCGGCGAAGCGCGCGTTGAGGCGGGCGCCGGCGAGCTCGGCCCGTGACAGCTCCGGCAGCCCAACCTGGCGGAGGAAGGCTTTCAGCTTGGGATGCTCTGCCGAGGCGAGGGAGACGCTGCCCGACGACTCGAGAAACCACTCGGCGAGCAGCGCGAGAGCCGCTTCGGCCTGCTGCCGTGGCAGCATCGCCCCCGGCGACGCCACGGGCGACTTGAGCCGCTTCACGCTGTCCTCCAACCGGGCGAGAGCGCCCAGGTCACCGCGGCCACCGGAGAGCACCTGCCGTGGCGCGGGCAGCGCCGGCGGCGTGGGTGGCGTCGGCGAGTAAGAGGAAGGGTCTCCCACGACCACGTGCTGGGAGGCCGCCGCCTCCACGGCGGCGTACGCGGCAGCCAGCGCGTGCCTCTTCCGCCCACCGCCACCGGTCGAGTGGCGGCGCTGCGACGACGGCGGGATGGACGAGATGGGCACGACGGACGACGCCGCGGACACGGTCATCGCCTGGTGTGGCTGCGCAGCGGCCCCCTGCTGCGCGGCGAAGTTGGGGCAAGCACCGCGCTTGAGGTGCTCGGAGGCCGTGCGCGACGGGTTAGACGCCGAGAACGTCGCCGCGCACAACACGCACCGCAGCCTGGCAGCCTTGGGAGGCACGCCGGAACCCGGCGGCGGTACGAGCACGGGCTCCAGGTGCGCCCAGTACCAGGCGCCCTTCCCCTTGACCGCCTTGGCACGCACCTGCATCAGCGCGTCGTAGCGCTTCCTCGCCGCCGCCTCCTCCCCGCCCGGCACCATTGCCGCACCGGCCGGCGCCGACCCCGACCCCGATGCCTCCGCCGACGCGCCCCCCGCCTCCTCCGCCGACATGGCGTCACGCGGCCGTCATGTCCGCGCGTTACGTAGGTTGGGTTCGTTTTTCTTGGAGGTTTTCGTGGGGTTTCGAACGTTTCGCGGCGAGAGGCGCCACACAACACCCTACTACTACTGGATGGGATGGACCGATGGAGGGGAGTGGTATTTTTACTCTACTCCCACTTTTTTCGCTCTCGCTCTATCTCACAATAGCGATAGTAGGAGTAGTAATATTCTCTCTCCAAGTCCACTAATTCTCTCTCACAAACACAACACACTGTTTATCTTGGTTTGTTGAGCCCAATACTTCTCGTAAAATCTTGGGAGCTGGGACTCGAAGGGAGCAGGACCTGAGAGCTCAAGCTTGGAATTTAAAGGGCACTGCTTCTCTCTCCTCTTACACACACTGCTGCTGCAACACTAGATGATGTACTGTACTGGAGTATAGTGTGTATTTTTTGCGTGGTATGACATTTATTTTTGGTGGTCTTTGGGTAGGAGTTGACTGGGGCTGCAAGACTGCAAGAGGAATGCTCTGATATAGTGCTACTGTATGCTTTATGGTACAATGCCAATAATAATATAAAAAGGTGGGGGGATTGGTACGGGCGAGTTGTGCTGTTGCCACTGTGCGAGGCCCCCCCCCGGGGCAATTATTGCGGTGGAACAGTTGGTGAGAGCCCACACCAGAGCTTCTTTTTTGACAGGGCGGCAGAGATTGTACACTGATGATATAGAAAAATAATCCCAGTAATTGTACCCTGGATTTGCGTCTAGATTCTTGCGTAACAGGCAAAACTGCCAACTCCAACTTTTTTACCTAACGCCTTCAAAAATACGAGTACTATTATTAAGAGAGCAATAGATTTTGGCTGATAAATAAATATCGGCAATAAAGAATTAGTAGTACAATTAAAATCATACTTCCTTTCCCATGTTTTTTTATCTTTAAAAGCTCAAACCACGTCTTCATATATTTTAGACCACTCATTGATTTGAAAGTTAATGGAACGAAGATGAGATATTGATTTAATTAGAGCATGTTTAGATCCCGTCTTATGTCACATTGAATGTTTGAACATCTGCATGAAATATTAAATATAGGCTAAAAAAATAACTAATTGCATAGATTGCGACTACTTTACAAGACGAATCTTTTAAGCCTAATTGTTTTATAATTTGACAATGTGGTGCTATACGGTAAACCTATGCTAATGATGGCTTAATTAGGTTTAATAAATTCGTCTCGCGGTTTAGTGTCCGAACACCTCATACGACACCCTATATAATACCCGATGTGACACGCCGAAACTTTACACCCCTAGATCTAGACACCCCCTTAGATCTTTTCCGTTAATATTGCGTACACTTTAGGTCTGGATACCACCAGTGGCGGAGCCAGAAAATTTCCACACCTAGGGCTGAGCTAATAGAATATCAAATATTTTCATAAATTACATAGCATTTTTCAAGATTATAATGGAGATTATGGAGCTAGGCATGGGGCCAAGCCCTAGCTGTCCCATGTCTGATTCTGCCCCTGGATACCACATAGTATTTGGGAGTATTTCTTACATTTATTTGTTGAGCTCATATGACCATCAGAGTTCATTGAGCGTTGAAAATTTTATTAACTTAATATGTAACGAGAATTGTTTCAAAAAAAAATGTGACGAGAACAATACATCGTCATTTATCCATAAGGACCAATGACAGAACGTGCTTGACAAATTAATTATCAGATAAGGTCATTTCTTGGTTTTGATTTTTGTGATTGAAATGATGCATGTCAAACTAAATCATGCCAATTTATTTGTGCAAAAAAACATCTTTTAAATTAGAAACTAATGACAGTTAATAGTTGTGTTACGACAAAATTTCACACTTGCTTCTGGAAGATGGGAATTGTGGAGATTGTAGGTACTCCATGCTCACTCGGCCAACTTATCCGATTAGAGATAGGAGATGGGCCAAATCTATGTATTATATATAATAGATTAGGATATGGGATTATGTTGCCTTGTTTTCTATGGCATAGCCCATAAATCTTGGTTAGATACAATTATGTAAATAGATAAGGAAACCTATATCGTATCCGGAGTCCGGTTGGGTTTTTTTCTATGTAACTCCGCCCCTGAATATAGGCCCCTGTTTGGGTTATTAATACAATCTATTAATAAACCCTTGTATTGTTAATATATTATTAATCTTTATAGTAACATTTCCTGAATCAGTAGATGGTAAAAACCGTATCCATGGTGAGGACAGCACGAAAAGATGCTATAGGCGGGACTGAAGGGCTCCCGTGTTTTCCGGTTGAGAGCGGCAGCGATGGTGATCTGGGTTTCCTCTCTGGTAATTCTTCCTTTCTTCTCGGTGATGGGGGATCGTTATCACCCCGGCCTCCCCGAATGGTTGGAATTTTGAGTATGGCAAGTCCTTTGCTACTCGGATCTCTGGTTTATTCGGCTGTCCTGTGCATTTCTCTCCTTATTTTAGTTCTCGGCCGTTTTATTTTGGTTGTGGATTTCACCCGTTTCAACTTTCGGCTCACTACTAAATAGTGGCCGTTGCACTCCAAGCTTGTTTGGGTGCCACCCCGCATGGATTCAGTGTCAAGCTTCTGAAAAACTATTGTTTCTCTTTCCTTGTTTGCAACAAGGATGTTGGCCTATTCGTGAATTCTATCCGTAACTTCATCTTCAAGGATTTTCATGTTTGGTTTTTTCTGTGGGGGTAACGGAGGTCCCAATTGGAGGAAAGAATTTGTTAATTGGCAAAGAGAAGAAGACAGTCTTTTGGACATTGGTTTCTAGAAAGAAAAAATCTAGGACTGCTTCTCCTGGTTATGTGCTTCCTTCGGCAGATAGATTGGTTACTCACCATTCTAAGGGAAAAAATCAGGTTGACAAACCTTCAGTGTTCAAGAGACTAATCTTTCCCAATGGTGATTCTTTGGTTCATCATCGTCACTGTTCTTCATCAGGTACTCCAAAGTCGCCATTGTTAATTTCAAAAGGTGAAATTCGAATTATCTTATTATTATTGCCCCTATTATTCCGTCTTCTGTTGTTACTACTGTGGACTCCTCTAATAATGGTCTACCAAATCCGGGGATTAATGGGAATAGTAATTTGAAATTTCAAGTGGTTATTTCTGCCTCGGACCATATCTACTCTCGCTGTCTGGCCCAGGGGCATTGCTCCTCTCAGTGCTCGAATTCCTTAAGATGTCGGGCCTGTTTTAATTATGGTCACATTGCTCGGTCATGTATGGCCCATAAGAATAACAAGATTTGGCTGCTAAGGTCCAAAATCCCTTCACCCGAGGCTCCTTAGATTGTGACAGATTTTATAACCCCTTCGTCTCTGCCAGTCACGGCTCTTTCCTCTCAACCTTCCTCGCCAGAAGCACAGTTTCCTCCCTCTCAGGCTCTCACAGCCCTGATCCTCGCTTCTCCGTCCCCAGCAATGGCGCATCTGCATGATGCAGACTTCAGACCGGAGATGTTTGTGCCAGAAGGAACCAACATTGAGGCCCCTTGGGAGGGAGGACACCAAGGGCGGACTTCACCCTTCAAGGTAATCTCCCGCGGTCTCATGAGGAGGTAATCTCCCGCGGTCTCATGAGGAGTTCGCTGCGGTGGTCATCGAACCGCAACCCCCAGCTCATCTGATCGGTCAGTTGATCCAGGAAGTAGCTAACATCATCACACATCAGCATCATCTCCATGTGGTCAGAATCCAAAGGTGCCCTTTAGCCTTGTGCATCGTTCAGCTTCCGTCAATTCTAGAAAGAGATATCCTAGTTGCCAGCGAGCCTGTTCTTTGGGAAACTTTTTCCGGGGTTCTTTTGTTAAGCATGATCGGTTAGCTAACTAGAGAAACTCACCTTATACTAGAGAAGGCTGGCTGTTAATTTTGGGCATCCTCCTCAATCTCAAAACTAGGGCTATTATTGAACAGATAACTAACCTATGCGTGGAATTTGTGGACTGGCATTATAGAGACAGAGTCCTGGGCAGAGTTCTAGTAAAGGCTAGATACAAATCTGCAAATGATGTGCCTAGCGAGGTAAGTGTTTAAGTTTGTGCTGAGTTTTCAGAGGTTGTCCAAGGTAGAGGAACTTGCACTTGTGGTCTTTTTTAAGAAGAAATTGAGAGTTGGATCGTGGTGGTCACTCGATTCTAGAAAATGACATAGAGGTGTTGAGTTGGAGGCTGTAGACTTCTTCTGGAATCTTTGCACAAGTGAGGCAAGGGGTTAGTTGAGACCTGTCGAGGAGTGATCCTCTCTAGCGGGTGATCGAGAGATCCCCTCTTGTGAGTTCGGCCGGGGGAAAGGGCGCGCTGATCGAGATCGTGTATCCGCCTGGAGTTCTTCGAGACCGTGCGCGAGCGCCAGGATTATACAGATTCAGGCCGCTATGGAGCATAATACCCTACTCCTGTGTGTGGGATTTATGGTTCAGTGTTACAAAGGTTCCTAAACTCCAGGGAGCACTCTCACTCTTCTTCCCATGGGGTTTAGGCTAACTAAAAGTCATCCCTTTCTTCGGTGGGCAAGGTCCTCCTTTTATAGTTCAAGGGGATACCATATGCACCGCCTCTACCTACTCCTTCACGGGAGGGGGACCCACTCCGCTTGGATCGGACCACATTCGTGCCTTCGCCTGGAAGCTAAGCAGCCGTCCGTCCTCGAGTGGGGCCCAACGCCGCCCCCCGTCTGACACGGGGGGACACCCTTGTCATTTCCCCTTAAATGAATGGAGACTTTTGGCGGTCCATCTCACGTGGAGGGGGCTCTAGATGATGCTTCGATGGGATGGGGCATACCTGCCCCCACTTCGCCGAGTACAGGGCGGAATGTGGGGGCACCGCCGCCCATCCGATCAGACGTGACCGGTGATAGGCCGGTCACAGTTCGGTCACGCCCGATTGACGTGGGTCAATCGGGCAGCGCCGCACGTCCGCCCTTACCGCATTAAATGCGGTGAGGGACGGTTGGGACGCTGCGCATTGATGGCGGTTCAGCCTGGGTCTCCGCCCCACTGGCTCCCCCCGCCACGTGGCGGTTGGGTGAGGGCCTCGGGGCGAGGCAGCGCGAGGGCCCGAGAGGCGTGACGTGGCACCCCGAGGCCCCCTGGCTTCCTCTGCGTCGTCCGTGGTGTGGGGGGAGAGCCAGGCTGTAGGGCCGCGTGGCTGGACGGGAAGGAGTCTATAACATCCTGAAAATTTACAATTTTCTAATTATGCATTATGCCGGTTCTTATGTTCTTATTAACATCTTAGACCTAGGAAAATATAATTAGAGAGAGACCTCCTAAAACTAACTTGCATAAAATTTCTTTGTTTATTTAAATTCTTTTATGACTTTTATTTAAAACCTATCTTCAGTTATTTCGTGATTTGATACTTCCTTTTTACCATGATTTTCTTTATTTAAATTTATTTAAAAACCCCTTTATGAATTGTGGTCCAAGAAACCTTCCAATATTCCATTAGAACCTAAACCACCACAATTCCGATTCCATTGGAATTAATTGTTAACCCAACCCTTTGATCTTAAACCCATCATTTGATTCCAAACCTATCCTTAGTTTCCTTTCCAAATTCCAAATATCCAAATATCTCCTTTTGATCTAGCCGCCAATTTAATTCTTGTGACTTGATCCCTTCCCGGCACGAGAATAATATTATTATAAATATTGCTCTTGTGCTAAGAAAATAGATTATATCTTTGTTATCCAAATTTCCTATTAGCCTCAAACAATTCTTTGAAACCCATGCCATATATTTTGAGGCTAAAACCCTACTTATCCTTCTCTAATTATCTTCTTCCCACCTTCCTATTTACACATTCAATTTTATTCATATATCCCTTACCCTTTCAATTGAGTGCATCAAATAAATTCCATTATATGCTACCTCTAAAATATTGCACTCAAATAATTAGGAAATCTCTCTTTGGAAATTATCTCCAAAATAAATTCATCTCAAAGGTTAGACACTTAAATTTCTTCCAAATATTAATTTGGATTTAAACTCCATTCCTCAATTCCCTACACAAATTAGAAAGCCTTCCTATTCATTTGGGCCCAATTTTCCCTCTCTTCCTTCGGCCCAGACCGGCCCAAGTCGGCCCAGCACCTCCAACTCAAGCCGACTCCCTGCTCCTCCTCCCGTGGGCGCTTCCAGGCGCCGCCACCGTGCGCCATTACTGCCGCCGTGCACGACTCAGCTACCGTCGCCTCCATCTTGCCGTCGACGCGAAGGAACCGCCACCCGGCGTCAGCTACACTTCATTCCGCCGACGTCAGCAACAGGGATGAACCGCCATCGTCGGCCAATCAGAGGACAGAGCCGGCGCCGTCATTCTTTCCTCCACGTCGCTGCAGCCGTGTCCTCATCGTCCTTCTCCTCTGAACCGCCATCAGCCACCGCCTCTCGCCGCCTATAAATATAAGGCGAGCCCTCCCCTTTTCTCCACACATCAACAGAGCCTCGAGCTCCCTTTCTCTCTCTCCATCCATGGTCGATCGTCGACGCCGTCGGTCGATCTCCCCATCCGTAGCTCCACCTCCCCTATCCTCGCGCCACCGGCTTCGCCTCCATCCGGCGAGTCCTTTTTTCCCCTTTCCCCTTTCCCTCCACCTCTAAGTCAAGCCACCACCGCCATCATCCATGCCGGCTCGAGGTGAGCCCTTGCCGCCGCCGTTCCGGCTATATATCTCTCCCTCTTGGCCATCCACCGACCTTCCCAAGTGCGCGTCGCTCGGGAACACGCGTGGCCGCCGCCTTCGAGGCCGTTCATCCACCGGAGCATCGGCGCCCCTCCTCTTCCTTCTCTCTGGAAGAGAAGAAAAAGCAGAAGGAAGGAAGGAGGAAGAAGAAAGAGAAAAGAAGAAGAGACAAAGAACTGACAGGTGGGCCCCTGTACAGTACTATTTCGTAATTTCCCTATTTAATTCAAATTCTATTCTTTAGAAGCCCATATCTCCTAAACCGTACATCCGATTCCAGTGAAACTTGGACCTAAATTCATATAAAGTCAAAATCAACATTTTGATATCAAATTTGCTATTTTAATATTTTACTTGAATTTATTCAAATACTGTTTGAATTTATATTTGACTTTTCAAATATTTTCTTTTATCCCAATTACCCTTTAGCCACTAAAAAGCCGCCGGTTGAAACTTTACGCCTTCCATGGGGACGTTCGGGGTTTTCTATCCCCGACGTCAAACCGTTGGTTGTAAAGCCCGGTATAAACCAAACCTAAGGTCGAAGTGCTGCTCCTGGCACCCCACGCCTTGATGCGTATAGCGGTCGGAGCTTCACTATTCCATTGACCTCCACAGCACGCCGCACAGTTAGCTCATGTCGTCAACATCTTGAACCAGACTAAGACTATGATCGCTGCCTCGGTTCCGGCCAACTCCGCAAGTACCCGCACCCCGACTGGTAGCCGAGTACCTCCTCTTCGATCTCAAGATTATCACCAGCCAAGCCTCAGCGTCGCCGGTGCCGGACCTAGTCGCAGGAGCAGGGGACATGGTGAGCGATCTGTCCGCTCGCCTCCCGAACGACATAGGGAGCGTCGAGTTGAACGACCACACTCCCCACATCGAAGGCGCCCCGTCGATCTTCGCGACACCATCAACCAGCGCCGCGCAGCAAGAGGCCATACTCCCCATCATTCACCAGATCGCTACGACGACGATATGGACGGAGTTGCTGCCTTCACAAATGATCTGCATCGAGTGGATTGGCCAGCCGGCTTTAAGCCGACTGGAATCGAGAAGTATGACGGCACCACCAACCCTGAGTCTTGGCTCACCGTCTATGGTCTCGCAATCCGCGCAGCAGGAGGAGACAGCAAAGCCATGTCGAATTATCTGCCTGTGGCCTTAGCGGATTCTGCCCGGTTGTCACATCCTGATTTTCGTTTCAGGATTTATAAATTATTTAATAAATTATTATTAGAATTTATATTAAATGTTCATTAATTTACTAGTGAAGTTAAATGTGGGAAATAAAATTTCCTAAATATAAAGCATGGATGGATTTAATTTTTATTAAATTCTTCATGGTTAATTATACTCTCTGGAACTTTCTCGGATTTTTCGGAGCTCAATTCCTAATTTTAATCATACAAAGAGAAGTTCAGCAATTATTTAAATATTAAATTAATCATTAAATGGTCTGATTGTAATTTTGTTAAGTACTTTGAGTGACCAAGTATTTTCAGGATTTTTCTTGAAATTATTTGAGCATTGGAAGTATTTTTAACAATTCAAAGATCATCTCATTGATTAATTTATTATTTTGGAAGTCCTTTGTTGCTCCCTTCCGGCCCAGCCCAAAAGTCTTCTTGACCTCCCCCGCGCTACTGTTCATCTTCCACCTCCGGCCGGTTGCAGCCGTGCCCGAGCCGGCCGATCGAGCCGCCTTCCGCCTCCGAATCCGCCCCAATCTCTCCACTTTTAGTCCGGGTTTTTGAGGGGTTTTTATCCTCTCGTTCTCCTCTATCTTTACCCCCAAAAATCGGAGCAAATCGTTGAGTATCTTGCCCGAATCGAACTCGTTTTCGAGTTTATCTCTAAAACCGAGTTTTTGTTTTCCCGGATCGATTTCTTGCGGGAGGAGTCCGATCTCTTCAATCCAAGGCTTTAAATAGGACCCCCTAGTCCTCCTCTTTCGTTTGCCCCAACTCCCGTCCTCTCCCGTGCCTCCTAGCCGCCGCGCCGCCGCTGCTTAGCCTCGCCGCCGCCGCCAGCCATCTCCGGTTGCGCCGCCACGCCGCCTCCACCGTCGCCGTCGCTTGCCGTCGCCGCCGTTGGTTTCGCCAAGAGGTGGAGAAGCTCGGCCGCCACCTCTCCTTCGCCGCCGGCCGCCATAGCCCGTCCCCACCGGCCAACCCGAGCCGCCGCCGTCGCCTCCCCGTCGCCGGCCGTCGTCTGTCGTCGTTTGGCACGAGGGTGAGTATCGTTGGGTTCGTCTCGTCGTCCTCTACGTGTACATGTCCTCCAAAATCCCGGCCGATCACCCTAGCTCCGGCGAGGTCGCTATCCGAGCCGGCCGCCATTGATGACGTCATCATGACATCATCATTTTCCCCTTTTCTAGTTTTTCTAATAGATTAAATCTTCGGAAAATCATAACTAAATAACCGTAGATCCGTTTCAGGTGGTTCAAGTTGCTAAATTTTTCTAAAATCAAGATCTACAAGTTAAAAATATCCATATGTACTGTTTATGCTTGTTTTTGTACTATTTTGTTGAATTTTGTTCTTTCGCTTTAGTTTCCGACGTTCCGGAGAAGAGCGTTTTCGTTGAGGAAGGTTCGGAAGTGTTTGCGGAAGCTCAAGGCAAGTCACACAGATCCCAAATAACCCTTTGAGCATGTTGAACCCATTTAAAGCTATTATTTTATTTCAACTATGTATTGTTTTCGAATGTCATCGGGTGGTGAACCTTTCCCAATTAATTAATGGCCTAAGATGACTTTATTTTCCTATGGGTTATAATTTGATTAGCATGAACCTTATATATTGGATTGGTTCAGCTAAATGCTATATGTATGTGTGCTTAGCCATGCTTAGAAACATTAGCTAACTAAAGGGGTTAATTATAAACTATATTATATTATATTATTATTATGGTTATATTTAATGGTCGCTCACGATGGTTAATCGTGTGATGTTAATTAATTGATAAATAAAATCTGGTTAAGGTGGGTTGTGAGCATATGGTTTTGATGGTTGTGCTCATGACAATTAAAGACCGGTTCGCGAGCTACTGTTGTGAGACATTTACCATACCAACCACAAGCCAGCATGGGCAACGGCTTTACCTTTTGTATAGCATGATTCATTGCGGGGTGCCAGACTATGAAGCGGCGAGAAGTCCGTGGGGGTCGCTGGGGAGTCCATTGCCTCTGGTTTTGAGGGGGAGATTATGATCCAGGAACGGTGCACTGTTTTGAGTTGTGTTGGTACTGTCACGATTTCCCCCTTTGCAATGCCGTGGTGGTATTTCGGGGCATGGCAACATATGTGGAATCGTGTCTTGTGGGTACAGTGGTACACATCTGGCCAGAGTAAAACTATTCGAATAGCCGTGCCCGCGGTTATGGGCGAGTTGAGCAATGTTTTTCGTGATTAGTCTCACACCTCTCACAATAATTATGGATGTTATAACTGGTAATAATTTGCTTAGCTCCTGGTTTGGAGTTAGATCTGTACAGCCGGGTATGGTTGTTCAGGATGGTTGGGCCTGTGCAGCATGGGTGTGTTGCTCAGTGTTGATTAAAATTTCTGATTAATTACTCCACTGTTTTACTTCTCTTAAATGTTTTGCTAAATGCTGCTTTTGCAAATGAGCCTATATTATGCCATCCTTTGGTATCCTTGTGCACTTGCATATTTGCTGTGTGGCTTGTTGAGTATGTCATATGCTCATTCTTGCAATAATCATCAAACCTCAGTTGAAGATAAAGGATCCAGAAGGAGAAGACGTTTAGCTTATACCCCAGTTGAGCTGCCTGTGGGAGTGGAGCTGAAGCCATCGCTAGATCGTTATTCCGCTGCTGTTTTCTTTTCTTTTGTAAGTATGTAACGTTATTATTAAGATGGATTTGTATATTAAATTGTCAGTTTGTGTACCTCGGCTGATTCTTGGACGAGGATTTTGTGCACAAATAAGTTCGGAAATTACTAGTGAATTTCCGGGCGTGACACCAGTCCTGGCTTCACGGGCTACCCCGCGGCACAATCGGATCATGGGCAGAACTATGTGACCACTTCATCGCCAACTTCCAAGGCACTTTTGAACGCCCTGGTACACACTTTGATCTCTATAACATCATTCAGAAGTCTGGAGAGTCCCTTCGAGATTACATCCGACGCTTCTCTGAGCAATGCAACAAGATCTCCGACATCACCGACGACGTCATCATTGCCGCCTTTACTAAAGGTATTCGCCACGAGGACCTAGTCGGCAAGTTCGGACGCAAACCTCCCAAGACGGTTAAGCAGATGTTTGAAAAAGCCAACGAGTATGCCAAAGCCGAAGATGCTATTACTGCGTCCAAACAGTCGGGCACCACTTGGAAGCCGAAGAAAGACACGCCGGCCGTAGGAGGGAGTAGAAGTAACAATCACAAGGATCGCAAGCGTAAGCCCGAAGAACTTGTGGCGACAACTACTCCATCTTCCCGACAACGTTCCCGCGTCAACACCTTCGACAAGATAATGAACTCCCAATGTCCGCATCATCCCAACTCCAACCACGCGGCCAAAGATTGCTTCATCTACAAACAATTTACGGAGCAATACGCCAAGAACGCACGTAAGCCTTCAGACGGGGATCAAGGCACATCAAAGAAGAAAGATGATGAAGACGATGCCCCGACTGGTTTTCAGGATCATCGCAAGGAACTCAATCACATCTTCGGCGGACCCCTGGCTTATGAATCTAAGAGAAAGCAGAAGCTAACCGAACGGGAGATCAGCGCAGTTCAGCCCAACACACCCCAATACCTTCGGTGGTCAGAGATAGCAATTAAGTTCGACCGCTCGGATCATCCCGACCGAGTGGTCCACCCGGGGCGGTACTCCCTGGTACTAGACCCAGTGGTTCGTAACGTCAAGCTCCAAAGAACTCTCATTGATGGTGGCAGTGCACTCAACATCCTTTTCGCCAAGACCCTGGACGATATACAGATCCCTCGTACGGAATTAAAGCCGAGTAATGCACCCTTTCACGGTGTCATCCCAGGATTATCTGCTACGCCACTCGGCCAGATCACTCTTTCGGTTACTTTCGGTACTCAGGAGAATTTCCGCACAGAAAAAGTTTGTTTCGAAGTTGCTGATTTTGAGACAGCGTATAATGCTATACTCGGACGACCGGCCCTGGCCAAATTCATGGCCGTCCCACACTACACCTACATGATGATGAAGATGCCTGGTCCTCGAGGAGTCATATCCCTACGGAGCGACATCAAGCAAGCCGTCACATGTGATAAAGAAAGTTGCGAGATGGCCCAGACCCGTGAGATCACACTCGCCCGAGAAGAGATCCGACTGGCTGCGACCATGGCAAGCGAAGGAGAAGTGCCTGCGACCAAGATGTTGAAGACCGAAGAAAGCGACGCCAAGACTAAGAAGATTCCACTAGATCCCTCCGATCCTTCCAAAACTGCTGTAATAGGCGCTGAGTTAGATTGTAAATAGGAAAGCGCGCTCATCACATTTCTTCAGAATAATAAAGATATTTTTGCGTGGAAACCATCTGATATGCCTGGTATTCCCAGAGAGGTGATTGAGCATTCTTTACATGTCAAGGACGACGCCAAACCTATCAAACAACGACTCCGCCGTTTTGCACAAGATAGGAAGGACGTGATCAAAGAGGAATTAACCAAGCTGTTAGCAGCGGGCTTCATCAAAGAAGTCCTCCATCCCGATTGGCTGGCTAACCCAGTCCTGGTTCGGAAGAAGACCGGGCAATGGCGCATGTGTGTCGATTACACCGACCTCAACAAGTCTTGCCCTAAAGATCCTTTCGGGTTACCTCGCATTGACCAGGTAGTTGACTCAACGGCCGGCTGTGAGCTGCTCAGTTTTTTGGATTGCTACTCGGGGTATCATCAGATCCGACTAAAAGAATCCGACTGCTCGAAGACCTCATTTATTACGCCTTTTGGGGCCTACTGCTACATCACCATGCCCTTTGGATTGAAGAACGCAGGAGCAACCTATCAACGCATGATTCAGAGATGTTTTTCAACTCAGATCGGCCGCAATGTTGAAGCTTATGTTGATGATGTAGTCGTCAAGACCAAGCAGAAGGATGATCTGATTGCGGATTTAGAAGAAACCTTTGCAAGCATCCGCGCTTTCAGGATGAAACTAAACCCTGAAAAGTGCATCTTCGGAGTGCCATCAGGGAAGCTACTTGGATTTATGGTGTCTCATAGAGGCATACAGGCCAA